CCATTTCAATGGGCGCTTTCGCTCACTTATGATGCTCGGAAAAGGGGGCTCATAGAGAGTGACTACTACCAAGTCGTTGTTCAGGAGGTACTTTACCGAACTGCTTTTGAAGCCGATTCTACGACATTCTAATCCTAGACACTTCAGGAGATCAAAAAGTTTCGCACTGGTTTAGCGTGGATTTGCAATTACGACTGGGTCCCGATTCCGATCATGTATCCACAGCTGGTCTGCTTAGCCGTTCACACATACTTCATCGTGTGCCTCTTGTCAAGGCAATACATCGTTTCTGAAGTCGCTAACAATAAAACAGAGGTAAGCTTTTTTGATTCACCTTCTGAAGGATTGTGGCTAATTCCAAGAATTACTCCTTTCCCAGTGTTCAAAAGCGAAAGACGTTGAGCGATACACTCGTCGTTCAGTTTGAGATTGATTTCAGGTTGATCTTTATTTCCCGATAATGTCCACACTACAGTTCATTTTCTATATGGGATGGATGAAGGTCAGTTATTTAAAGATCACTTCGCACATAGAGCGTAGTAAGAAAGAAAGCTTATCAGGTTCTGATAAATGGGTATGGTCTTGCACAGCTCAATAAGCTAGCCGTTTGATCTCGCTTAAAAGCACAGTTCACGACCAATCTGAGGTGCCAGATTAAGTGAGACAATGAAAATTACAGTGCAGATGGAGCCCTTATGATGCCCTAACAATGCCATTTTCGACCAGGCAACGTGTCACATGACACCACCTTTAAGAGTTATGACCGGCACTCTTTCCGTTGTTCCTTTTCCGTTTTGGGGTGGAGAGGAAGACTCAGAAATTTTATTCGAAGGGGCACGCACTTTCTGGGCTCACTGGGTCATGGATGTAGCATTCTAGCGCAGAATTCAAAGAAGTCATTCTTGAAGCTGGTGTAGAGGAGGATTAGACAGCTGCGATGAACAAGCCATTATAATGCAAAATGCTGTACCCTCTACTGAAGTGTATGAATTCATGCTTTAAAATAAAATGTTTAACACCCGCTATCCAGGTTGTGTTTAAGCCGACGTATATGTTAACAACAAGTCGATTTTAGGGCGACAGTACTGCAAAGTCGCTCACAGCAACGGGACCTACATATTGGATTCGTCCATGCGTCAGAACATCTCGAACCACGCATAACTAGCTCACTAAAAAAAGCCGAGATACTTCGAAGTGCTTACGCATCCTACTTACTATAAAGCGCTTCGTCTGTCTGTCTGTCTGTCTGTCAGTCTGTCTGTCTGTCGTTCTGTCTGTATGTCTGTCACGAAATTCCCTAACTCCTTTAGATCTGCCTGGAGAGACCGATTCAAGTGTGGGATGGGTGGGCCAGGTCTCGAGAAGTATAAAACACACACCACCTTGGCGAAGCCCCGCCCACAGTGGGCGTGGCGTGCATCGAAATGAGCTGGACTGAGGACCATGATTTCAGATTCAGTCACAAGACGGCCTCAAAATTGGGGTTTAAAAGTGGCTAGAGGTGGGCATTGGTAAGTTAGATCCAAATGAGGAGACCCACCCCCGATGGGCGGGGCGTTCTCCAAAAATGCAGTGCTCTATGAAAACATTTATAATTCGGTTTGGAGATAGCCAACAGAGGGGAAAAAGTTTGTGTTGGAGAAGCATTGTCGGAGGTGTCTTCACCATAAATGACGTCAGCGGAGGCCCGCCCACAATGGGCGGAGCGTGCCTCGAAGCTCACATCCCTTCTTACATTTATATACGAAAATCCATAACTCCTGTCCCCATGGACCGAGAGAGTTCATATTTGGTAGGGGTACAGGCGGCATGATGGGAAAACTTATAGTGTGTGGCAAAACCGGACTCCGCCCACAAGGGGCGGGGCTTGGGTGAAAATTCGTAATTCTGTCCCAATGGACCTAGAAATTTCAAACTTGGTAGGAGTACAGGCGGCATGATGGGAAAACTTATGGTGGGTGGTAGAACCAAACTCCGCCCACAAGGGGCGGGGTTTGGCTGAAAATTCATAACTCATGTCCCCATGGACCTAGAAAGTTCAAACTTGATAGGAGTACAGGCGACAGGATGGTAGCACCTATGGTGGGTGACGAAACCGGACTCCGCCCACAAGGGGCGGGGTTTGGGTGAAAATTCGTAATTTTGTCCCAATGGACCTAGAAAGTTCAAACTTGGTAGGAGTACAGGCGGCATGATGGGAAAACTTATGGTGGGTGGTAGAACCAGACTCCGTCCACAGGGGGCGGGGTTTATGCGAAAATTCATAACTTCTGTCCCCACGGAACTAGAAAGTTCAAACTCGGTAGGAGTACAGGCGACAGGATGGGAACACTCATGGTGGGTCGCAGGACCGAATTCCGCCCACAGGAGGCGAGGTTTGAGCGGAAACTCATAAATCCGATAAAGGTCTATAATGAAAATCAGCTCATGCCGCTCCGTCTCCCATGGTCAGAGCCCCTAGCGCGCGCGAGAGCGTGCGTAGCCGCCTGGTTTACATATATTCAGCATATTCCCAGTGCAGCGATCCTGTTTATGGATGTGAAGCAAGAAGAGCACGACTATGTTATATTAACCTCAAAGAAAGATAAAGAGAGATTAACGCAAGAAAACTTGTCTTATATCCCAGACTTTTCGCTATGCTGTGAAGCATGGAAGCATCTGAATATCTCGATTTGCTGATTCGATGAGCAGGCCTTAGAGTGTTCACTACTATTAAAACCTTTATTGAGCGATTTAGCCCAATTGGGACCAACGGTCAATTATCCAATTCAATTTCCAAAAACAATTCGGTAAGGTTTCTCCTCGTCTTTTGAAAGGACGTGAGAAAGAACGCTATTGCCGATCTTGTTCTATTCAAAATAATATTCAGGTAGCTGAAGCAATGCTTAATCCCTTCGGTGAGGACGATGACGATTTCGAATGCAACGCTCTGATTGATCGGAACATCACGGTAAGTTATTTGTATGCATGGTTTATCAACAACATCTCCACATTTCTATTTGATCTTAAAGACAGTCCTTTTTTAGATGGTGTTGATGATGGTGGACCAAGGTTATGATCGCCCACCTGACCTCAAAAAGGATCCATTTTGGGATGACGAAGTTGAACCGCTTTACTCCGAAGAGTCGGCAAAAATTCCGAATAACCCACTCAAAGGTTCCGTGAGTGAAGTTAGGTGAGGCAAAGCGGAAGAGCGTTAATCTCATTACTCCTTGCCAGAAAGAGTTTCTCATTCCCATTTCCAGACTCCCTGAAGGCGTTCACGAAATAAGAATGGTGCCTCACTTCGATGATCGCGATCCATTGCTTACGGATGCTGCTGCACTACGGAGGAGGGTCAGCGTGGTTCCCGTTAGCTAGTGAGTTCTCCTGGCGACCTTTCCCCGTTGGTATGTAGATCTCCTCACGTTCTTGAGCAATTTTTAGCATGGATCAACGCCATCGTCGACCTTCCATAACTTCTTTGGAGGTGCTCCGCAGCTTCAAAAGCAAAGTAGGAAGGTGGGATCTTATTAAACTATGAAAATAAAGAGAAATTCCAGCTAGAGTAAAATTTTCACGACAAATCTAACCAGAATCCATGTCAGGTCGTTGTCTCGAAGTCAGATATACGACGAGGAGCAACCTCGAAAGACGGTTTCTCATGGCCACTTGCCAGTTCTCGATATATCA